GGCTGGAAGCTAGTGAGTGATTTAACCAAACAGTAGGCTTGGAACTGGGACTCAAACCTCCTTATCACCCAGAAAGAGCCCTGAGAGAGATGAATAAACGCATAGACTGGGATTCCTTAAAACACAAGGACAAGAAATTATGTATTTTACCAACTTGCAAAGGAGCACCAGCAAATGGGGGCTTTGGATTTGGAGAGCCCGTCTCAAATCCTAGTTCACCACTAACTAGGTAAATTATTGACTCCTCTAAGCCCAAGAAAAGAGAATAATCATTGTTATGATAGCTAATGTTTATTGAGAACTTGTTATCTTTAAGCACATTACATATATGTCTAGAGGTTTAATTCAGGTAGTATATATATTAGGGCCGTAGTCCAGAACATTCTCAGTAAATGTAGTATTATTTAGTCAATAGTTAAAGAATATAGGTATTATCTCTATTAATGAAATGTATAAGGCAACTTTATTTTCATTATTAACATAATCGAGTGAACTATTTCTTTAATTATGATGAATAAAATTCAATTTTAAGGTTACATAGTGAGTGAATACTTTCATCAAACAAAGCTCCTTCAAAATATTTCTTCTAAGGCATTGAAAGATTTAGGTTTAATTTTTAAATGCGACTTCTTTTCTCGGACATTTCTCTTTCCTCTGAAGCAAAGATGTACCATAGGAAAGACACTCGGTATCCCAGGGATATGGAATAGCCAAACAGGAAGTCTTTCTAGCATTTTCCACTGAGTAAGCAGATCCAAAAAGCTGTTTATTTTCCTCATGGCTAGGATAGGACAGAACAAGTTCTTTGCATATTTTCGGTTATTATTTACTTTAAAAATAGGTGCAGAAATACTCTTAAAGTAGAAGACTTGACAGATTCATTGTTCTGCCCTCATTTCTCTGTTGAAGAAGTTAAATGCAGGAGAAATCCGGCAAGTTAGCCACCTCTGGTCACATCAGCCTCGTCATGAGGCAGTGTGTATCACAGCTGTGGGCATCTCACAGTGGGAGGTGTCAAGCTGAGGCCTTTGGGTGTCTCCATCTCTGCCTCTCAGTGTTTCACCAGGAAAACATGCCAACCCAGCTACCACTTACTGAAAGACCTGAGTGACTTGTGTCTGAACTCTGTCCTGTTCCTGAGGCTGACCTTGGACAAAAATAGTTCATATGCTCTGATAAATGACAGTTACTTTCATTTGTTGACATATTTTGTTACAACCATAATTCTATGTTCTTTGAACATATAGAAAGCAGAAGATGCCCAGTGCCTACTTTTTGAGGAGTGAGCTTTGAAATGACTAAGAAGTGATTATAGTCGCAGTGTTTATTATACTGCAGAGTGAAGTATTATTAACTGGTATGTTCATTTGATGTCTCTCTTTTAAGTCTCTGACGTTCTTATGGTTCAGAGTGAATGAAAGCTTTATTCTAAAGCCATGGGTGTTGTAAATTTTAAAGATCACAGAAAGGCAAAGAGCAGAAGCATGACAATATGGATTTCTTTCAGTGTTAACACAAATAGATATAAAGCCATGTTTTGTTTTGTTTTGAGAAATTCTAATACTGATAATACTGACCAAGTGGATTAATTTAAATATTATAATTTACATCACAAAATGTTTCTTCTCCTTAAAGAAAAATGTTACCTTAGAATGTCACTCATGGAAAATAGCCTTAAAATGGAGATCCATGGGGACCTGCATGGCTCAGTTGGTGTCTGACTCTTGATTTCAGCTCAGATCATTATCGAACCTCACTTTTGGTTACACACTAGGCATGGAGCCTGCTTAAGATTCTCTCTCTCCCTCTACCTCTACACTTCCTGCTCATGCTCTCTATCTCTTAAAAAAAAAAAAAAAAAAGGAAGTCCATGAGAAGGTATAGTTATAGTAATAAAAATGAGATGTGCATAATGTTTGGGAAACATACCCCAAATTAAAATCATTTTGTATGGGTTATGGAGGACTGCATAATTAAATTATTTCACCTAAAAACCTTGGTATTTTCAAAACCAAATCCAAAGCCAGTTTCTGAGCAACTTGGGGAAAAAACTCAAATCTCTCTGAGTCTCAAGATTTTCACCTTCAAAATAACAATTTCTGAGAATATCCTTATCTTTAAAATAACTCCTACCTTGTAGCATTGCAATAAGGATTAAATTAAAAGGTAAAAAAAAAAAAAAAAGAAAGAAAGGAAGAAAAGTTTAGCACATTTTCCAGCACATTCTAAGCATATAAGAAAAAAATCATAGCTATAACTATTAATACTACAAAATGCAGAACGAAAATCACACCTTAGATTAGAATATTTGCTAACGACAACTTGTCTTCACAGATCTGAAATGCTTTCAAATCCACTAATTTCAAGTGAAAGCATTCAATTTTCTATTTTCCTTTGTAGTTCATTTCAAATAGCGATAGTGAAAAGCACGTATTGAGAGGATAACCTGCTATCTGCATGCCACAATGTAAGACACCCTGAATATTCAATGATCCCACCAGGTGAGTATTATTTTCTCCATCTGCAGGTGTGGAAGCTGAAATCAGAATTGAAGTTAGCTGCCCAAGGTTATTCTACCATTAATTACTAAGCTAGGATTTCAGCTTGGACCACTCATACCCATGTTCAACTCTATTCCATACTGGAAGAGAAAGTGATTAGCAGTGAGGAGTGGGGTGGACCAAGAGCCTTTTTCTACTTTAAATAAAGTGAGTCTAGATCAATAGTTCTCAATTTGGGGGGAGGAGGGGATTGAAATTCCCTTACACTCTAAGAAAATTATTGAGGACCTTGAGAAGCTTTTGTTTATAGGGGTTATACTTTCTGACATTTTTCAAATTATCAATTAAAGCTAAGAAAGGTTTTTTAAAATTATTCACATTAAAATAATAATAATTTTTATTTTAAAAATACTTTGAAAATAATAATAAACACATTACGTTAACATGCATATTTTTAAGTCTTTATTTAAATTCCAGTTAGCATACAAAGTAATATAAGTTTTAGATGTAAATATAGTTATTCAGCACTTCTGTTTAACACCTGGTGTTCATCAGGACAGATGCACTCCTTCATCCCCATCACCTATTTCACCCATTCCCCCCATCCCCACTCCTCTGACAAGCATCACTTTACTCTCTGTAAATAAGAATCTATGTCTGATTTCTCCCTCTTTCTCTTTCCCCTCTTTGTTCATTTGTTTTATTTGTTAAATTCTACATATGAGTGAAATCATATGACTTATTTCACTTAGTATTATACTCTCTAGTTCCATCCATGTCACTGCAAATGGCAAGATTTCAATCTTTTTTAGGGCTGTGTAATATTCCATACTATATAGACACACCACATTGTCTTTATTTTCAAAAATGGCTAAAATCAACAAGGCAGGAATTAATATGCATGTTTTTTATGTAAAATAAAAGTGTTATTTTAAAAAAAAACTTTTAGTGAGAAGAGTGATTTCATTTTAGAATTTAGCAAATCTCCTTAATATCTCACTTGACATGAGACAGCCAGACTTTGCTGTTGGCTTCTGCATGCGGCCAGTTGTGCCCTTACACTGTCGTGGGTCCTGAAGAACTCCATGGGAACCTTAAGAGACAATGATGGTGAAATAGACAAATAAAGTCTTCCTGTTATTATAAATATAGTTTGATGGCTGGCCTCCTTGGAAGATCTCAGAGACCCCTGGGGGCCCAGCCTGCGCTTTAAAAACCACAGTTTAGGTAAAATGTGCAAGAGAACTGAGAAGCTCTGTTGTCAGCTTTAGTCCACAGTCATAGCCTAAGTTCATCATTCGAAATTACCTGCTTGTCCACTGCATGCCTCTTTGTATTCTTCTAGAAAAGGACAATGGAAATCTGTCATCTCTAGTAATAATAAACATTGAGTGGGAAAAGATTTAAAGGTAGTAATATTTCTCAGCAAAAATAAAAAAGAAGTATTATGGAAAGATGTATGAGAATTATATTTGGTTAACTCACACAGACAAAAATACACACGTTTTTATCTATACAGTGTAACAATCCTTTGTTATACAGATGGAATGTAATTTGAAGTGTCATTCTATTTTTGTGGCAATAACCAAACTGATTAAATCTATTCTATTGCTTAAGTGAAGGTAGTGAGTCAAATATTAGCAGACGTGTACCCTAATAAAGTAGAGGGCACCGGGGGAGCGTTGGAAATCTCGCATAAGTTGGGAAAAATCTTATACACTGTTTGGGTAGTGTTAAGACACATTAGAATTTGAATTGTTTGGTTATTCATGAGATTGCAACTTCAAAATGTCTTGTCACAGAAATAAAATGTTTCTTCCTTGCTTTAAAATCCAAGCCCAGAAACCAGTCATTTGTTAATCATATTTGGGTTTTTTTGATTCATGAATTCAAATTTGTTTTGCTTTACTGTGCTGTTTCAACATGGAAAATGACTGTCATGATGCACTTTACTTATTCTTAATAATTTTTGAACTTAACAAAGTACGTTAGGTATTCTGTAAGAGTTGAACCCTATTAAAAAACAAAAAAGAATTGAACCCCGTTTCACAGACATGTTAGCAAAGCTGAAGCTGAAACCATATCATTTCAGTAGCAATACTGCACCAAAAGGAAAAATACTACATTTTTTAAGATTGAAAATATTCCCAGAGTGCACCAACACTACCACTAAAATGAACTTTGATCCCCATTGTCAACTGAACCGTACCCCAAAATAATCATTTGAAGTTTCCACAGGTTGGACATCATTGAAGTTTCCAGATATTGGATTTGATGACAGAAGGAACATCAGTATTAACATCGACGTATTCCTCTAAAACCAACAACTGGCTGAATATTTCACACATTCTAGAGGTGCTTTTATCACGTAAGTTTTTTTCCAGTATCCAGATGCTCTGAAGTGAAGAAAACACCTACAGGTCCTTCAGAAAACAGCTGCTTGTTGAACTAGAAAATCTGGCCGTGTAACACTAAGAAGGTTTTCTCGATTCCCTCCAGGTTCTTTGCAGCAACAGCCTGCTCGAGTCTACAGACTACTGGCTACAGAATCAGAGGACTCCCTGCCAGATCGGTTTTGTGGAAGACAAGTCTGAAAACTGTGCTTCTGTAAGTAAACACAACTCTCTCAGGGTATAATTTGAGAAAGCAGGGAGTCCAGTGCATGTGCTCATGCTAAAGATGGAAGTTTCATAATTAATTAAATACAAGGTTAGGAAAGTATCGTTTTGAAAATGCATAACGGGTTTATATGGACCATTAACAAAATGGCATGCTGAGCTCTTGTCTCTACTCTCATTTTGCTCATTTCAACGGGTAAATTAACCTGATCAATTCTCTGAAAAGGAAAAACAATGTTTATATTTTCAAAACTGACTGAGAAAGAGATTCAGAACTAGAACTGGATGATGAGAAATAAGAGACCATTCAAGTGCTTTCTTGGATTCTTTTCAATATATTTTATAATTGCTGCTAGTAGGTTATTTTCCAACATGAATATTGTATAGAAATTTTCTACCATTCTTATAAGTTATAGTCATTATCTGAAAACCTTTTCAACACAAGAACTATGAAGCCATGAATTTTAATATACAGGAGCTGAGGTGTACATACAAAACCTTCCTTTTCAAGGCATGTTCTTATAAACAAATGTTTATAAGAAATAAATATTCTTATAAACAAAATTATTATCTTAATATATGGGTACATATTCTTGATAGGAGAAATCAATAATATGATTTATTTTTCCTGTTGAAAGATGCTCCTTCCTGTATGTTCTACGAAGTCATATATTTCATTTTAATTGAAATCACCTAGCCCTTATGGGGTCATAATTACAGAGACTGGGGTACAGCATTTCCAAAGTGGAAAGAAATGTAATTCTCATGACTAAACTGGAACTTCAGCTCTGAGCTATTCTTGGAGGTAAGTTGAATGCCAGCATTTCTGTTAAAAGAAAAAAAAATAAAACAAAAAAAGAAGGAAGCTGAAAATGGGATGAAGAAGCTTTTTATATAAAATAGGCAGAACCAGTACTGGCAGACAGAGGATGTAAGCATTTCACACTGCAGAATCTCATCGTGCAAGGAAAGCAGAGTCAATTCAACAGACTTATTTCAATCTCTGTTTGAGCAAATGATTTTAATCCCACTACTTCTAGAATGTTTAATCCTTTATCCAGATAACTGGTTGCTGTCCAGAAGTCTTTGGGGAAAACAAAAGGGATTAGGTGGCAGGTAATTTAATAGTGATAACCTCCTTTACAAATTCACTTCTGAGGTCAGTTAGAAAACGCAGGCATCTGTGGATACAGGTTTCTAATCACACAGTTGTCCATTGTAAGAGGAAGAGAAATGGAGGGTAGAATCTTTCCAGCTATATTCTGGAAAAAACTGTCATCTGAGCAGCTCCTGTATTAAGAAGTGTCCCACTTGGAGGAGCACCTTGGGTGGCTCAGTCCATTAAACATCAGACTCTTGATTTCCTCTCAGGTGGTGATCTCAGAGTTTTGAGATGGAGCCCTGAGTTGAGCTCCACACTCAGCTGGGAGTCTGCTTGAGATTCTCTTCCCCTGCCCCCTCAATTAAATAAATAAATAAAACCTTTAAAAAATGAAGGCTTCCATTTGGAGAAAGTATGAAATTTGGGGCACTAAAAATTGTGCAGTGGAAGGTGAAGAGGTCTTCTTGAATCTTTACATTTTTGGAATCTGGACTAAAGATCTGCAATTAGAAATGCTAAATTTATAGCCAGATTAAAGATTACCATTGGATCTCCCTAAGTGAAGAGAATTCTCCTCCCACTCCCCACCAGTCCCAGTGGATTCAAATTTGGGCTTAAAACCATATGACTTCCTTCGTTAATTCTCTGTCCCTTTATAGTGTCAGATGACAATAGTGAGGTTGAGCTGATTCATCTTGCCTTTACAGTTCTTTCTATTCTTTCCAAAAGGGAAAAAACCCAAACACTAATAAAAGGTATACTGGAAATTTCGTTTGCCCACATGTTATAAAAGTTACCCATGACTCTAAGGCTAAAAGAAATCTTGAAATCCCTATCTTGAAGTCCTAAATTGTCCCAATCTCTCAAAAGTATCCTTTAGTTCCTTTTTCTTAAAGTGTGAATCCTTTCTTTCTTCCTGACTTGGCACAGATTTCTAGGATGAAAAGAGGAAACAGAGTCCAGAGCTGAAGGGAAGCAATTCTAGAGGGAAAACAGAGGTGAACCATGGAGATATCTAATCAGGACCAGGACCTTTTAATCAAAACAATACATAGGAGTGACCAAAATGGTCAGGATTTGGGAGTGGGATGGGGTTTTTTTTAGGGTTTTATTAATTCATGTACTTTATTGCCTTTCAAAAACAAGTTTTCCATGGCAGGATGGAAATGAAAGGTATAATTTAAGGGAAAAATTACTGTACTTTAAAATCATGTCTTCGTTCAAGTTTCATTTAAAAATTCAGTTTAATAAAATCATCCCAAAGCAAAATCTCTTTTCAAATAACCAGAACAGAATCTGAGAAACCTGTAGCAATGTTGGCTCATATTTTATCACTTTGTACTCTGTTCATAGCTCTATGTTAATCATTGCTTCTTTAACTGATTTCTTCCCGATCAAAATTAGCAGCCAACTTTTTCAGATCCAACTTCTATTGGCTTAGGATCCAACATACTGAAGTCCAAGTGTCTGGACTTGCAGTTTCTTAGAACTCAGAACCTCAGCATACCAACACTTTCTGAATTCAAGACTTCCACTTAAAATTTTTATTGAGGGACAAACTCAGACTTGGAAAACCTTCAGAGTGTGGTGCGCATGGGTCAGTATGACTGTTATGAGTTCTTTTTTTCTTTTTCCTTTTTTTTTTTTAGTTACTATTTCAATAGAGAACTGCATTCATTTCACAGCTAAAATGAAGAGCCTTAATGAAGAGTAGTTTGAAGCAGTCAGATACACCAAACAGGAACAGCTTGCCAGGAAGTCTGGCTCAAGCAGCCCCCTAGAGGTCACCCTTGAAAGTTTTTCACTAGGTATCAATTATAAACAATTTGTTTTCCTTTTTTTTTTCTTTTTAAGATTTTATTTATTTATTCGACAGACAGAGATCACAAGTAGGCAGAGAGGCAGGCAGAGAGAGAGAAGAAAGCAGGCTCCCTCCTGAGCAGAGAGCCCGATTCAGGGCTCGATCCCAGAACCCTGGGATCATGACCTGAGCGGAAGGCAGAGGCTTTAACCCACTGAGCCACCGAGGAGCCCCTGCTTATGTTTTCCTAAATAGAATTCTCCTCTCAAACTATATAATTTCATTTTCTTTCTGATTTGTCTTCCCGGAAAAAAAAAATACAGCAACCTTAACCTTCAGAGTCTTCTTTTTAACCTGATTTTTAAAACGATTTTATGTTTTTATTAGAGAGAGAAAAAGCAGGGGAAGGGGAAGAGGGGGAGGGAGAGAGACAAAACAACCCCGAGCTGAGTGTGGAGCCCAACGCTGGATTCCATTTCACAACCTCAAGATCATGATCTGAGCCAAAATCAGGAGTTGGATGCTTAGCCGACTGAGCCATCCAGGTGACCCTAACCTGATTATTTAAATGAAGGAAATGTGGAGGAGGTTAATGGAATTGGAAGCCAATTTCCAAACCCAACAGCTGAGACATTATCTTAATAGAGGTCCTTAACACAAGGAGTAGGAATTGGACTTTTCAAGTCTCTTGACTTTTTTTTTTTTTAATTTAAAACTAATTTAGTTACTTTTAAATCTGTTATTACCCTTTGCTATTTACTCACATTTAATTTTCTTTTTTATTTTTCAGAAATCTTTTTTGTTTTAATGCTTCATTAAAATTACCTTGACAATTTACATTATTTCTATTTATAGCTACTGTCAGTATCTTTCCTTACTGGTCATTTTAAGACTTGGCTATCATCCTGCAATAAATTACACCCTCCAGTGTACATCTTAATTGACGAATCACAGTATTTGAAAATGTGTTACATTTGCCTTCAATTCTTAAATAAACAAATTAAATTATCAGGCAGGCTTCAACATTCCACACATGATATTGCAAAACTATGAAGATATTTGACAGCTGTTTAGTGAGCTTCTGATGTCAATGCAACCCAGTGGCAAAAATGACAAAATGGCATCTTGGATGACTGTTCTTTATTCTATATTATTTCTGAAAATATTTCTATACCAAGTCTATTATGAAATTTAAAAAAGGTAAGTTAAGGAAGAGATAAATACTCTACTTGATATGCTGATCTATGGAAAAATCTAGACTTCCATGATTCAGGAAAAATATAATAGAACAATGAAAGGACATTTTACATTATCTAGTCCAGGTGTTTACCAAGCTTTCTAGCAACTTTAATGTTTTTTCCTTTAAAAATCAGGTTTGGAACTTATTTTTTAAATTCTTTAATTTTAGACTTATAGAAAAATTGCAGGAATTCCTAGAATTCCCAGATTCCCCACATACTAACATTTTACTGCCTTTGCTTATCCTTCCCTTTGTGTGTGTATATGCATCTATATGTAAGTGTCCATATAGGATTTTTTTTTTTTTTCTAAAACTTTTGAGAAGGATCTGCAGACACGATGACCCTTTACCCCTATGTACTTCAGTGTGGAATATAAATATTTAAAACCAGGATTGAACCCAGAGCTGCAGAAACCCTTGTTCAGGCTCATAATTTGGTACCAACTGCACAATAATGTTCTTTAAATATTTATTCAACAATGTTCAAGGAGAAGTTAATGCCGCCCCCGTAAAAGTGAAAAATCAAATGCTGACAGTGAAGTCAGGCAGCCTGAGCAGCACAAATGCCCTGTATTTAAGGGAACCCACTCTCAGGAGGCAGTGTAGGGACTGTCAGGGGTCACTTGCCCACCTGAAAGGGAGCTCTCGACCCTCAGCCCTGGTAGATTATTCCTGCCAACTTCATCCAGGACTGCTCTTGAGCAGAAGTTCTGGTAAGTTACATTTTGTCTATGCTGATTTCCAGGTGTTTTGGTATCCACCCTCCACCCATGATTGATCCAGAAGAACTTTTTGGAGACTTGCTTCTTAATCCAGCCCTAGATGAAACAGAGAAAACAAGGCAGC